CTCTCTTCCTCCAAAAGATGTTGGCATTATTACATGCAAAGAACTGCTGCTTAGTCGTCTTCCTGTGTGTTCACTCTTTACAGGTCAAGTTTATTTAAAACAGACTTTCTCAGAATAAGTGTGTGCTGCATTCTCATAAGGGTCCGTTTGACATTTGCAGCAGCCAGAGCTCTAAACTGGAATTCTCCGCTCACCTCATAATAAGAGAACAATCCAGGAGGATACAAAGGGATGCTAAGGAAGGTCACCTGGCAGGTCTCTGGGGAATCTCAGTTTCATACAAAAGGGGGGGAAATAACGAGTGTTGAAAGTTTCACCTTCAGAATTATATTGGTTCTGATTCTTTTGTAATTTCTTCATTTTCAGAACTGGGGCACCAAGTCACAGGGATGCTAATGCACTCACATTTTGAAAATATGCTATCAAGCTGTGTAAGGGTAATAAGAAGCTAATATGATTTTCAACTCAAGTTCTATTCAAGTTCTATTCAGAAGTGCAGCATGAGGAGTAATGCAATATGCTCAGTATGAGGTTGTTGCAGGGCCGTAGCCAGAAAAAAATTTCGGGAGGGTTTGAAATTTTCAGGGGGGGGGTTGAAAATTTTGCGGGGGGGGGTGAAACCTGCCTTCTAGCTCACGCTGAAGCAAAGAGCACAGCAGGGGGCAGAGCAGCCTTCCATAGCCTGCAGCTCTGCCCCTGTCAACCACCTCCACCAAGTCTGGCCTCCTTAATGAGAGCATTCAACACACACACACCCAACTTGGTTGCTTCACTACATCAGCTATTGCTGCAAGTAATGACAGTGTGAATAAATTGTCCATAAATTGTCCAGGGACGACCTAGCTATGGTGATCCAGGCTACGGTCATCTCAAGACTGGACTACTGTAATGCCCTCTACATTGGCCTTCCTCTGTCGGTGATCCGGAAGCTCAAGTTGGTACAAAATGCAGCTGCTCGGCTTCTTGCGGGAATTCCGATGAGATGCCACATAACACCAATCTTACTACAGCTGCATTGGTTACCAATTGAGCACCGGATAACTTTCAAAGTGATGGCACTCACCTTTAAGGCCTTGCATGGTCTGGAGCCGATGTACCTGAGGGACCGCCTCACCCCGTACCAACCCCAGAGATCCCTCCGTTCTGAGGACCAAGATCTATTGGAAATTCCCAGTGTCAAGACCTTGCACCTAACAGCAACGAGACGCAGAGCCTTTACAGCAGTGGCACCATCACTCTGGAATACTCTGCCACCTGAAGTCCGTGCCTTGCGGGACTTACCAGCTTTCCGCAGGGCATGTAAGACATATCTGTTTCGACGGGCCTTTGATCTCTGATATTGCTGTTTTTAAATTGTTTTAAATTGTTTTTAAATTGTGTTCGATTTTAGCCTGTTCTTGTAAGCCGCTCCGAGCCCCAGGGGAGTGGCAGTATATAAGTTTGAATAATAAATAAATAAATAAATATTTGCTTGAGATAGTGCTTGTAGTTCTGGAGGGACTTTTAATTTTTTGCATCTCCTAGACTTAGCTTGGGGATTTGGTTAACCAGTTAAAATCCATGAGTAAACTGAGTTTTTTAAAAAAATCTGAAACATTTCGGGGGGGGGGGTTGAACCCCTAAACCCCCCCCCTCACTACAGGCCTGGGTTGTTGTATCATACAAGTTTAGCAGTGGTTCCCAACCTTTTTTTTTGACCAGGAACCACTTGACCAAGGACCACCTTGACCAGGGACTACTTGACCAAGGACCACTTTGACCAGGGACCACTTGACTAAGGACCACTTTGACCAAGGACCACTTGACTAAGGACCACTTTGACTAGGGACCACTTTGACCATGGACAACTTTCCAGCATTAGTACCAAAAGGGTTCTCTGTATACGAACCCACACAATCTCTTCGTTCATCTGGAGAGGCCCTGCTCTCGATCCCGCCAGCATCGTAGGCGCAATTGGTGGGGACGAGAGAGAGGGCCTTTTTGGTGGTGGCCCCTCGACTCTGGAACTCACTCCCTAAGGACATCAGGCAGGCCTCAACCCTGGCAGTCTTCAGGAGGAACTTGAAGACGTGGTTGTTCCAGTGTGCCTTCCCAGAATAATGATCCTTTAGCACTTTGTCCCTCTAAAGCACTTTACATTTTTAGGTCTGCTCGTATGTCTTTCCACAAACAACCACTATCACCTTTTCGCCCATGTTTCAGCACTATTTCCAATTTTTAATTTTACATTTGGCCTTCCCACAGTTTTTAATTGTATGTTGTCTTATTGATAATGTTATATGTTTATTGTTTATGTTTTTATTTTAATTGTTTGTATTGTTGTGATTATTGCTTGTATTGTTGTGTTCGGCCTCGGCCTCATGTAAGCCACACCGAGTCCCTTGGGGAGATGGTAGCGGGGTACAAATAAAGTGTTATTATTATTATTATTATTATTATTATTATTATTATTATGGGTTAAGAATCCAATTTTGGTCAACTTTAGATTCGGTTTGGGATGCGGAGAGGTGACTAGATGTGCCTGATTCTTTCCCCTCTGTTGTTGGACCGCTCTAACAACCAACATGTCAAACTACACAGAGAAGCAATTGAAATCCACAAGCATGTGGACAATTTCAACAGAAAGGAGGAAACCATGAAAATGAACAAAATCTGGCATTTACCAGCATTAAAAAGAACACTAAAATTACAACAGCAAAACAACACACAGGAAACAATCTGGCACATCTAATCACTTCTCAACAAAAGATTGCCCTAGGCACTGCCAGGCCATCAAATGCACCAGCAAGCCACACCAAACGACTTCCAGGCCATCAAATGCTAATCAAGGTGGTCAGTTGAAAGATTCACACCTAGCTCCAGCAGACAAGAGTTCTTTGCCCCAGCCTGGTCATTCCACAGATATATAAATCCATTTTCCTAGTTCCAACAGACCTCACAACCTCTGAGGATGCTTGCTATAGATGCAGGTGAAACGTCAGGAGAAAATGCTTTTAGAACATGGCCATTTAAAACCTACAACAATCCAATAATAATACTAAATTTTTATTTTCAATGGTAATCTATATAAATAAAAATGTAATGTTCATTTGTGGGATTAACAGAACTCAAAAACCACTGGATGAATTGGCACCAAATTTGGACACAAGATACCTAACAACACAATGTATGTCCTTCACTCGAAAAATTGATTTTTTCCATTTGGGAGTTGTAGTTGCTGGGATTTATAGTTCACCTACAATCAAAGAGCATTCTGAACCTCACCAATGATGGAATTGAACCAAACTTGGCACACAGTTCTCCCAATACCAACAGAAAATACTGGAAGGTTTGGTGGGCAGTGTCCTTTGGTTTTGGAGTTGTAGTTCACCTACATCCAGAGATTACTGTGGACACAAACATTGATGGATCTGGACCAAACTCTACACAAATACTCAATATGCCCAAATGTGAACACTGGTGGAATGTGCGGAAAATAGAATCTTGACATTTGGGAGTCGTAGTTGCTGGGATTTATAGTTCACCTACAACCACAGAGCATTCTGAATTCCACCAATGATAGAATTGTGCCAAACTTGCACACAGTTCTCCCACGACCAACAGAAAATACTGGAAGGGTTTGGTGGGCAGTGTCCTTTGGTTTTGGAGTTGTAGTTCACCTACATCCAGAGATCACTGTGGACTCAAACAATGATGGATCTGGACCAAACTCTACACAAAGACTCAATATGCCCAAATGAGAACACTGGTGGAGTTTGGTGGAAATAGATTCTTGACATTTGGGAGTTTTAGTTGCTGGGAAGGACACGAGACCTCCCTGTAGTAACCTATGGATGTGAGAGCTGGACCTTAGGGAAGGCCGAGCGAAGGAAGATAGATGCTTTTGAGCTGTGGTGTTGGAGGAAAGTTCTGAGAGTGCCTTGGACTGCGAGAAGATCCAACCAGTCCATCCTCCAGGAAATAAAGCCCAGCTGCTCATTGGAGGGAAGGATACTAGAGACAAAGTTGAAGTACTTTGGCCACATCATGAGGAGACAGCAAAGCCTAGAGAAGACAATGATGCTGGGGAAAGTGGAAGGCAAAAGGAAGAGGGGCCGACCAAGGGCAAGATGGATGGATGGCATCCTTGAAGTGACTGGGCTGACCTTGAAGGAGCTGGGGGTGGTGACGGCCGACAGGGAGCTCTGGCGTGGGCTGGTCCATGAGGTCACGAAGAGTCAGAGACGACTGAACGAATGAACAACAACACAAGGCCTTCTTGCAGGCATGTAGCCGGGGGGGGGGGGGGCTTGAGGGGCTTCAGCCCCCCCCCCCCGAAATTCTCATGGTGGCTCACGAAAAGGCCTTACTGGTGCATTATTTAAACTGTTATGTTTATTTATATCATGATCTGATCACCATACTCAATATATCCCATATGCATGGGGGTATTGGGGTAATGATACAAAAGGTTTGCTAGGGTAGACCCTCTTTCACTCAGACTCAGCCCCCCCCGAAACTCAGCCCCCCCCCCGAAACCCCCCCTGAAAAAAATAAAATCCTGGCTACGGGCCTGCTCGCGTACCACCATGAGAATTTCTGGGGGGGGGGCTGAAGCCCCTATAGCACCCCCCGCCCGGCTACATGCCTGGCCTGAGGCTGTTAGTTATTGTGGGAGTTGAAGCCCAAACCACCTGGAAGGAGGGCCCAAGTTGGCCCAGGCCAGAAGTCCAGCGAAAGGTACTAGAGCAGGACGTCCCTCCCACAAAAACGAAGTTGTGCATTTTAAGAAACTTTCGGCCATGCTTTTATGATGGAACCAATTAAGAAATGGTCTTGACTACAAGCCAGGAACATAAACCGTGTTTGCATAGAGTGTAATCCAAAACAGGAAAGAGGAAATGGAGCCAAGGCATCCCAGAAGAAGGGCGGGGCCTTATTCCCTTTTCGGTTGCCATGGTAACACCATCCCTGGTCCTTCCTGCGGGGAAGACTTTAGAGGGGGGAACGTGGACGCTCAAGGGGAGGAGCCTCCCGGAAGCCACGCCCCCTCCGCCTCCTGGCTGATGCTGATGCTGATGCTGCTTCTCAGTCTGCTCCAGGGAAGCCGCGGATGGAGAGGAGGGCCTCCTGGATGTGCTCAGGTGAGCAGGGAGCAGGGAGGGAGGGCAATGCCTGGGGAAGCCCCAGCCCCCCTCTTGGGCAATCCTGCCTTGCCCCACAGAGGCTCCTTTGCGGCGAAGCAATCCCCCTCGCGACACCCACCCGCCCCATTGTCCCCTGCGCCTGTCTCCAGCCATCATCATATATTATTATTATTATTATTATTATTATTATTATTATTATTATTATTATTATGTTATGTTATGAATTTCTGATTGTATTATTATATTCTGATTATTATGTTTTATTATTATATTATAATATATTATAGTATTATGATTTTGTGATCATATTATTCGATTATGATTATTATATTTTATTATATTATTATATTATCATGGTTTTGTGATTATATGATTCCATTATGATTATTACATTTTATTATTATATTATATTATCATGATTTTGTGATTTTATTGTTCTATTATGATTATTATATTATATTACTAGCCGTCCCCTGCCACTCGTTGCTGTGGCCCACATGGGGGTTCTATGTGGGAGGTTTGGCCCAATTCTTTCATTGGTGGGGTTCAGAATGCTCTGTGATTGTAGTTGAACTATAAATCCCAGCAACTACAACTCCCAAATGTCAAGATTCCATTTCCCCAAACTCCACCAGTGTTCACATTTGGGCATATTGTGTATTCGTGTAGAGCAGTGGTTCTCAACCTTCCTAATGCCACAACCCCTTAATACAGTTCCTTATGTTGTGGTGACCCCCAACCATCACATTATTTTCGTTGCGACTTTACAACTGTAATTGTGCTCTTATTATGAATCGTAATGTAAACATGTGATATGCAGGATATATTTGCATTCACTGGACCAAACTGGGCACAAATATCCAATAATACAACCAAATTTGAATACTGGTGGGGTTGTGGAGAGGATTGATTTTGTCATTTGGGAGTTGTAGTTGCTGGGATTTATAGTTCACCTCCAATCAAAGAGCATTCTGAAATCCACCAACAACGGAATTGAACCAAATTTGGAACACAGACCTCCCATGACCAACAGAAAATATGGGAAGGGTTTGCTGGGCATTAACCTTGAGTTTTGGAGTTGTAGTTCACCTACATTCAGAAAGCACTGTGGAATCAAACAATGATGGATCTGGACCAAACTTGGCACAAATACTCAGTATGCCCAAATGTGAACACTGGTGGAGTTTGGGGAATACAGACCTTGACATTTGGGAGTTGTAGTTGTTGGGATTTATAGTTTACCTCCAATCAGAGTATTCTGTTCTCCACCAAGAATAGAATTGGGCCAAACTTCCCACACAGAACCCCCATGACCAACAGAAAATACTATGTTTTCTGATGGTCTTTGGTGACCCCTCTGATACTCCCTCGCGACCCCCAGGGGGGTCCCGACCCCCAGGTTGAGAAACACTGGTGTAGAGTTTGGTCCAGATCCATCATTGTTTGAGTCCACAGTGTTCTCTGGATGTATTTGAACTACAACTCCAAAACTAAAAGACACTGCCCACCACACCCTTCCAGTATTTTCTGTTGGTCATGGGAGAACTGTGTGCCAAGTTTGGTTCAATTCCAACATTGGTGGGATTCAGAATGCTCTTTGATTGTAGGTGAACTATAAATCCCAGCAACTACAACTCCCAAATGACAAAATCAATTTTTTTTTTAGTGAAGGACATACATTGGGTTGTTAGGTGTCTTGTGTCCAAATTTGGTGTCAGTTCGTCAGTGGTTTTTGAGTTCTGTCAATCCCACAAACGAACATTACATTTTTATTTATATAGATTATTATTATATTATCTATGATTTTGTGAGTATATTATTCCATTATGATTATTATATTTTATAGTTATATTATGATTTTGTTATTGTATTATTCTATTATGATTATTATTATATTATTATATTATATTATAATGATTTTGTGATTATACTATTCAATTATGATATTATTATTATTATTATTATTATTATTATTATTGTCCCCTGCGCCTGTCTCCAGCCATCATCATATAATATTATATTATTATTATGTTATATTATGAATTTCTGATTGTGATGATATGACTCCATTATGATTATTACATTTTATTATTATATTATTATGATTTTGTGATTGTATTATTCTACTAGCCGTCCCCTGCCACGTGTTGCTGTGGCCCACTCTGTGTCTATTTGTTTTGTGTGTATATAAATGCATATGTGTGTGTATATATATGTGTGTTTGTGTATATATGTGGTTTTGCACATGCATTGCAATATAATTTTTATTTTTTGGCTTTTTAAGTCTCTTCCACTGTGTTTTTAGTGTTTTTATAAAGTTATGTTCACTCGTTGGCCTGGCAGGTGTATTGTGTCAAAATTTGTTGTCAATTCATCCAGTGTGTTTTTGAGTTATGTTAATCCCACAAACTGACATCACATTCTTATTTATATAGATTATGATTATTATATTATATTATTATGATTTTATGATTCCATTATTATTATTATTATTACTACTACTACTACTATTATTAGCGGTCCCCTGCCATGCATTGCTGTGGCCCATTCTGGTGATCTGGAAAATAAAGTTATGAGAAAGTGTTGGTTTCTAATATATTCTATTTCTTTATGCTTGTGGGTAAACAGTGTTTCTTGTTGTTTCTTTGTCAGTGTTGATGTGGAGATTGTCTGGTTTGCCTACTCTGGAAGATGCAGCATATCATTGTCTTTTAGGGATCCCTTTCAAATCTATGATCCTACTAGCCGTCCCCTGCCACGCTTTGCTGTGGCCCAGTCTGATGATCTGGAAAATAAAGTAATGAGAAAGTGTTGGTTTCTAATATATATAATTTCTTTTTGCTTGTGGGTAAACACTATTTCTTGTTCCTTTGTCAGTGTTGATGTGGAGATTGTCTGGTTTGCCTACTCTGGGATATGCAACATATAATTGTCCTTCTTTAGGGGTCCCTTTAACACCAATGATACTATATCTGTCATATACATATATATTTGTGTGTGTGAATCATATCCATTTATATTTATGGCTGGATAGCTCTTTGTCAGGAGGGCTTTGATTATGTTTTCTTGCCCTGGTGAACTGGATGGCCTTAAGGCAGCATTTCTCAACCTGGGGGTCGGGACCCCCGGGGGGTCGCACGGAGGTGTCAGGAGGATCTCCAAAGACCACCAAAAAACACAGTATTTTCTGTTGGTCATGTGGGTTCTGTGTAGGAACTTTGGCCCAATTCTATCATTGATGGGGTTCAGAATGCTCTTTGATTATAGGTGAACTATAAATCCCAGTAACTACAACTCCCAAATGTCAAGGTATATTTCCCCTAAACTCCCATCTGTTTTCATATTTGGGCATATGGAGTATTCGTACCAAGTTTTGTCTAGATCCTTCATTGTTTGAGTCCACAGTGCTCCCTGGATGTAGTGAACTACAACTCAAAAACTCAAGGTCAGTGCCCACCAAACCCTTTTAGTCTTTTCTGTTGGTTATGAGAGTCTTGTGTCCCAAGCTTGGTTCAATTCCATTGTTGGTAGAGTTCAGAATGCTCTTTGATTGTAGGTGAACTATACATCCCAGCAACTACAACTCCCAAATGACAAAATCAATTTTTTTAGAGTGATGGTCACTCCTTGGGTTAGCAAATGGGATGTCGCCAAATTTGGCGGCTATTCATCCAGAGGATTTTGAGTTATGGTGTCACTCAAAACAAAGAGAGCGCATTTAAATACCCCATTTTGAAATGATGTCACAAAGAAGAGAGAGCAGGCTTGTTTTCTGCTGACCTAGAGACTAGTACTCAGAGCATTGAGTTCAAATATCAAGAAAGGAGATTTCACCTGAACATTAGGAAGAACTTCCTGGCTGTATGAGCTGTTCAACAGTGGAACTATGTGCCTAAGAGTGCAGTGGAGGCTCATTCTTTGGAGGGTTTTAAACAGAGTCCAGATGGCCACCTGTTGGGGATGATTTTATTGTGCTTTTCCTGCATGGCAGAAGGGAATTGTACTTCATCCAGTACTACCCTTGGGATCTCTTCCAACTCTGCCATTCTGTGATTCTCTCGTTCCCTTTTACACAGACTGACACATATATTGTATTTGTGTGAGAGAGAAATATCATATTTACTCGAGTCTAATACTCGCCTTTTTTGGCTAAAGGACCTTGCCAAAACTGGGGTGCAAATTAGATTCGTATCATACATGAATAATAGTGCTGATCCCCGAGTGGCGCAATACGTTAAACCCTTGTGACAGCAGACCGAAAGATCGGCAGATTAAATCCGGGGAGCAGGGTGAGCTCCCGTCTGTCAGCTCCAGCTTCTCATGCAGAGACATGAAAGAAGCCTCCCACAGGATGTTAAAACATCTGGGCGTCCCCTGGGCAACGTCCTTGCAGATGGCCAATTCTCTCACACTAGAAGCGACTTGCAATTTCTCAAGTCGCTCCTGATATGGAAAAAAAAATTGTTGCGTCAAAGCAAAAGTGGAAGTTGCTTCAGGAGCTCCTCTTTGAGGGATGTCATCTCTAACTAAATGTCTAGAGCTCAATGTTATGCCATCCTGGGATTTGTAGTTTGGTGAGGCACCAGCAACTACAACCTCCAGGATTCCATAGCATTGAACCAAGACAGTTAAAGTGGATTCATTCTACAGTGTGGATGGATTCTTTTCCATCACTGGAGGCTTTGTTGTTCTAACACAATTGCTTATAACAAAGGAATTACTTATTTAGGCGATCCCTCGTAGTCCGAGGATGATGGTTCTCTAAGAGTGGTATCCTGGAGGTGGATCCTTAGTTGGCTGTGGAACCCTATTCTTGATCTGCATCTTCTCCCGCAGAGAGGGCATCGGTTTCCAGGTGGAAGGTGGTCTCGGTCGGGGTTGGCTTGATGCGCCTTCCTCTTGGCACGTTTCTCTCTTTCGCCCTCCATTCGTGCCTCTTCAAATTTTGCAGCACTGCTGGTCACAGCTGACCACCAACTGGAGCGCTCAAGGGCCAG